AGATGCAGTATGGAAAGCAGCATCAGAGCTATATGGTTCTAGGTCTCCTTGCTGTCTTGCAAGGCAGTGATAAATAGGGGAATTGAAAAGGAGGTGGCCCCTTACCTTACCAAGGCTTGAGATTGGAAGGGACCAAGCCTGAAACAGTTTGGATTGGATGGATACTTGCTTAACAACCTGCAATTCTCAGTTAACAATAGCAACGGGGATGGAATTGCTGTCCTTAGTGAGGTCATGTGACATGCTTTATGACATCACTTAGCAATGGAAATTCTGATTCCTATATGCCAAGGACTACATGTAGTTCTGGGCCCACCATGCCTGTTGATAAAATCATGTTTTAAGGTCTTGTGACAAGCCAGTATGGTTGAGGGCCAATCTGATCTCCAAGGAAATGATGTTCCATAGAGTGAGAATATGACAGAAAAAGCTAGTCTAGCAAACAGACTAGGACCATGTCCTTCCTGTTGGATCTGATGGAATGGGGAGATAGGATTAGAGAGAGTTGGTTCCTCAAATAACCTGATCCCATTCATAATCAGTGCTCTTTCAAAACCACCAAACTTAGCTACCCCAGCCCCAAGTGCTGGCCATAAAATCCATAGTTTATAATTTAGCTATATGCTGTCTCCTTCTGCTGATCCTGAATCTCCCCATGTTTAGTTGCAGTATGTATCTCTGAGTTCTAACAAGGTAAGATAGGGAAAACAAGAGAGAGTGTCAAGAGTAAACGAGTTCTGAATAGAAATATGCAAAAAAATATTTTATGATATAATCCTATATTTTATAGCATAAATATAAGCAAATTTCAGAAGATTCTGTGGAAACTTTCTAAATTAGATAGAGCTCACAGAAATAACTCATCTTGATTCTCACCTTTGCCTCTGTCACCAATATCTCAACACAACATATTCTACCAACCTGTCCATCCACAATATTTCCAACACTTTCTCTTACTTCCCTTACCTGACATCCTTCAGCTGCCAATGTTCAACTCCTACCACACAGCATATCAGCGTGCTTACCCCATAATCTTCCCAGAACCTTCTCTTCTATCCTTCTCCTGCCTCTCAACCACTACCAATATCCTTGACTTTTCCCACTCTTCCTTAAAACACATACTTAGAACACCTACATTTCAGTCCATATGGACAAGAAAACAACCCCATTTTGTTCCATACTCCAACCAAACACATATTTTGATTTAAGCACAGATCACAATGAGTTATTTGAATCATGAAAACTGTTCATACAGTGTTTTGTATTAATGATGAAAGAAGATAGATTGGGTATAAAATAGTGATCAGTTCAAAAGAAGTTCACTGAGGTGATTTAGTCATAAAAAAAGAATTACAAAAAAATTATGGATTGAAAGGACCTGGAAGACTAAGAAATGTTCATTAGATGGAATTGATGAGGTCTTCAAAACTCAGAATGGGTCCACAGTTGTGATATCAAAGATAGGAATGAAAAGTTACTCTTAAGAAAATAGCACCCCAGGTAAGTATGTAGGTATGATTTTTATCCTTTTTCTTAAAATATTCTTAGTGGGTTGACATCTTCACACCCAGGACAACTCAAAGATCACTTCTCAGATCACTGGAAGATCAGATTCCATTAATACAGAAATGAGGTTCAGAGTTTTTTCTGTAAATGTATATCATTTATACCTCTTTACACTGAACTTAATAGCTATACTGAAACTGGATCTCTTCACAATTCCCTTTTGATTTTACAATCTTGAACAGTTTAGTATCATCAATAAATGTAACCATCAGGTGCTCATTTAAAATTAAACTTTGGGTATCCAAGGATATCAAATTATCTACCCTTTGTCTAAAATCATAATGATCCAATAGTATTGCTAATAGAAAACAGCTGAGAAATATTGTGTGCAGCAGAATCCATTAAGGTTTTTTTCACAACTTAGCACTTCAAATCATTTTTTATCAATTACGTGCACAACGCCTTTAGTGCTACTTCTTTAGGATACTCTTGAATGGTAGCTGACATTAACACAATTCTCGCTAATTCACACTTCAGTTATTTTGATACAAGAATTCACACCAAGCCACTTTGGAAAGACACAATTAAAATGGTGAAAAGGTGGTTTTCAGCTAAAAATATAAATGTGTTGCCTTCCCTATGCAGTACGTTTGCAACAGTTTTATGACATTTTTAATTATTTGCTTTTCTAAAAAATACTATCTACCCATAAAGAACTTACGGTAGAATATTGTAAAACATTTTTTT